GCACTCCGTCTCAGTACTTTAGGCCATCAGGTTTCATGTTCCCTGCAGCAAAGGACAGCCCACTAGCAGGAAAAATACAGAGCCTCCACATGCACAGACCACCAGCATCTAGCTAACATTTGACCCTGGAAGTTAACTAATCATCAATCAATCACACTGTCATTAGGCAGCAGACAAGAAGATATATAGTAGTAGAAACAGCCACAAGATTCTCTCTCTCTCTCTCTCTCTCTCTCCCCCTTGTTTCAAGCGGATCAAGATCCTCTGGTAAATCCCTAGAAGCCAGCGCTTTGCATTCGTGAAGCACTTGCCTTTGGACTCATCAATGCAAGCCACATAACGCCTTTACACATCAATAAATTAGTTAACAACGCTATAAACTAGATGGAGGTTGAGAGTTTAACTGAAGAAGATTTCACAGTTCAGAGATCTGTCCAGGCAGGAAGTATGCTGAAGCATCTAGCTCTCCCCCCCAAAGCATCAGAGTGATCTTGCCATGCGATGTGGGAACCGCATGTATTAGTTTATCCAGGGTGAGATTACAAGTTACATTTACCTTGGCATACACTTGTAGCCAAATCAGGCAGAAATTGTGCAGATCATGTGTCACTGGACAGAAGAATCAACTGGTGGAATCTTAGTTTAGTAGTAACTTGTCGATTTAACGGTTGAACTCTTCATACTCAAAGCCCTAGCCTTTACTTTGGATCTAAAACAGTAGTAAAAATAATATAAAAAATTAAAAAAATGGAACCAAGGATATCTTTATCTGTCCTTTGAATTCCTGTCTAGGGTCCTACTTAGTTCTCCCTATCCTTCTGCTTGGTCTCATGCATCTTCAGGTCTTCAGGACAGCCCACAAGCATGTTCAGTTGCCATTTTCTCTCTAGAATTCTACTTCTCCCTACCCGAAGATTTGCAGCCTTGGTTCTTCAAGATTATGAATCTATATCCCAAGGAGAACGTAGTAGAGTATCGTGATCGGGAGCGCCACGAGCATTCCAAAAATAACCCTGAAATTTCAGAATCATGCATGCAAAATTTAGTAAAAGAAAACAGGTTCAGTTTTACTCAGATATATATTAGCAAAAGATTGAGAATATAATGGCTAACTTACGCTGTGCTAAGTATTTGAGGATGGCAATTGTACTCCTTGGCGAACACAAATGGAACAATTCCTTGTGGAAGTGCTGCCTGTTGAACAATCACATATTCAAAATTAAGATCATCGTCTCAATAGATTCCACATTTATCAGACCCACTATTGTGTGCAAATTTAATTGGGTATGACTTTGGAGTTAAATTTAGATTTATGGTATAGTTTCTGTCCAAACCTGGACAATGGCAACATGTAGGAGCACTCCCCGGAGCCCGACGGCGATTGAGGTCGCGGCGATCACCGCCGGCCCAGTCAAGAACCTCACTGCCATTGCAAATGTGGCGACAGACTTCCCGCAAGAGATGATCTTTGGTTGCAGAGCCATGAAGAGACCTGGATCAATTGCATAGGTTACCGTTAGCATTTTTTGGAGCAAATGAGAAAGAGAAAGGCACATAATCTGTTATGAATAGACAACAAAATGTCAACGCTGTAGTACCTAAGCTGAACATAGCCATCCCTAGCCCTGCATCAGACAGGATGGATATGGACCCCTTGATTATTGTAGGCATCTGAATGTTCCACCTGAAATATTTTGAAGAGAAAGTTTGGATAATCAACATATATTACTAGCCAAGTAGCGTTTGCATTGAACCATCAACGTGATTAGAGACCCAAAGCTGTAGATGCATGTGCCCCTCTCTCCTAGAAATGCCCTCTGCTTCCTCTTAAGTTTCCTCCAGATGTGAAATAAATAGGGCAATGATATGGATGCTGCAGATATCGTCTGTACGTACAGTGTACACGCGATGTGTCGTGCACCAGCCGTAGATGAGAGTACATAGTTGCATTGTTAGTTTGTTACTGGTCATCATGTCATGTGTGCAACCGATCTGGAACTCTATGGATGCAGACAAGCACGGCATCCGCATGCAGCTGATTTTCTAGATTTGCTCTGCTGCTACAGGGCTCCAGGCCAGGTCTTGCATAAGACCTGCATCTGCAGCTGCACCATGCATGTGCCGGCCGGCGGACCAGATCCAAGACCGACGTGATTATCATGTGCTCTCACATGCATCCATGGGACAATAATAAGCAATCTATCATTAGTGTATAGTTAATGGAGACAGAGCAATGTCAATCTAGACTCGAATCCAGTTTAGCAAACTAACTAACTTGATTTTTGTACGCAAGCACTAATTCTGAGTTCTGATGCATGCATGCATGAGTTGACGAGTGAATTGATGGACGGATGCAGTTTGCCACAGAGTGATGGGATTGTGATTGTACCTGAAGGAGACGAGTGACCAGACGAGGCCGATGAGGCTGGAGTAGGTGTTGGGGTTGCGGATGAGCTTGCGCCACACCATGATGAGGATGAGCCGGGTCATCACGCTCGCCGGCGGCATCGGGTGCGCCGCCTCCTCCAGCCCGGGCACGTCGGCGCCCTTCTTCCGCGGGGCCACGTAGGGGGACCCCGACACCGGGAACTTGGCGCCCAGCCCCGTCGCCGGGCTCTTCATCATGCCGTCCTCGATCTCCACCTCCACCGCGCCGCTGCTGGCGTCCTTCTTCATCACCGGCGTCACGCTGCCGCTCACGCCTGAAGGCCGACGCGTACACAGAATAGTGCACAGTGTGTCATGGAGTGATGCATGGTGGCAACCTTGATCTGGACGGAGGAATCACGTGTTTGTAACGTACCTCTGGGTGTGGCGCCGTCTCGTGGCGTGGCTGCCGCCGGCGGTGCGGCGGCGAAGTCGGTGGACGCGGCGTGGTTGACGGCGTTGCGGAGGTTGGCCTCCGACACGGGCGACGCGCTGGAGCTCCACACGAACATGTGCAGCTCCTTGTTCGAGTTTGAGTTGGAACCCCCAAGCTCCTTCTTCCTGTTGCACATTATTATCCCAAGGAATCCACAAGTCAACTCCAGATTCATCCAACACAAGATCCAAACAAGAACTGAAGACAATTATTCATGTTCATATGGTTGCATTTGAGTGTTGTTGGTGACACGTACCGTGGCGCCGGCATCATCATCCCGGGGTTGGGCGCGGGGTAGGGCGCAGCCGCCTCGCCGCCCTTGAACTTGTTGGCCACCTGCTCGTCGAGCCCCTGCCCGCGCGCACCACCACCTCCGGCGACGGGGGGCTGGCCCTTGGGACTAGCCAGCTTGCTCCCGTTGAACATGGAGTAGAAGTCGGACTGGTTGAAGCTGGACTGCCTCGGCGTGGGCTCCCGCGACGTCTGCAGCGAGTAGATCTCCACGCCCGTGAGGTTGGACGCGCGCGGCGTCATGGCGTTGGACGCGCCACGGTAGATCCCGGAGCGCCCGGCGCCGTGGCCGCCCGTGGTGGACCCCGACGCGGACCGGCGGATGACGACGTGGACGCGGCCGTCGCGGCCGACCTCGGCGTCGGCGTGCAGCGCCTCGCGCCCGTTGAGCGAGACGACGTCGGAGTCGACGCGGAAGGAGGCGATGCTGGCGCCGACGTCGGGCGGGAACTGCTCGGAGATGAGCGCCTTGGCGCCGCGGTACTCGAAGAGGAAGAGCATGAGCGTGTACCAGATGACGCTCTGCAGCACCACGATCTGCACCATGAGCGACCCCGAGAAGTCGCCGTACATGGCGCGCAGCAGCGGGATGCCCATCACCAGCGTGTTGGGCAGCGTCGCCAGGGAGAAGAGCGTGATGGTCCAGTCCAGCGACGAGGCCTCGCCGGCCTCCGTGCCGCCGCGGCACCGGTAGCGGGAGAGCACGTTGTGCCACACGGCGAGGGCGGCGAGGATGACGAGCTTCTGCAGCGAGTCGGCGGCCAGGAAGCGGTAGTCCATGGCGTAGGGGTCGTTGGTGGAGATGAAGTGGAAGGAGAGGAGCGGCACCGCGAAGACGGCGACGAAGCGGTTGATGCCCGAGCACTGGTCCGGCGTGAAGATGCCCCACCACCGCACCGACCCGTACGCCATGAACATGGCCACGTACAGCGGCACCACCGCCGCCAGCACGTCGTAGATGTCCTTCCCGGTGATCATCGCGACGAGCTAGCTAGCTAGATCCCAACGGTTCCTCGTGGGATCTCGTCTCTGCTGCTGGGGATCGATCCAGGTGACCTTAAGAGTGTGGGAAGAGAAGTAGAAGGGTGGCTATATAGGAGAAGATCGTTGAAATGGTTGTTAATTTAATTTAAGTAAGTGGTACGTACCCTACACTGGGCTTAGATTATGCTAAGCATGGTGCATGTGTGCGGGGAAAGATTCCAAGCTAGGGGACAAGGCACGTACACTTGCACGCATTCAATCAATTGGTTTTTGTTTAGCGAATTTCATTTTGTTCTGGCGGTGATCAAATGTATAAACACTTCTACTACTAGCTAGGTTGTGTAGGAGACATGAAGACTAGCTAGGCTTCCTGGCTGGTTGGAAGAACCAAGCTGGTTTTTCTCGAGGCTAGGGGCAAAACCCTAGCCGCCGCCCATCGTGTACCCCTCTCATCGCCGCCAGGGTGCGGCAGCGGGGAGGTCATGAACTCTTGACCAGAGCGCCTACTACGGAGGCGCTAGGGGGTAGTTGTGCGACGACGAAGATGGTCGCTCGAGCGGCGGTCTACGTCAAGCAGTGTGCGACGGTGGTGTTGTTGAATCCAGTGGCACTCTTCATCGGTGGCCCGACATGACTAGACCACCAGAGAAGAGCGCGCCAATTCATGGCTCTGGACGGCAGTGAGCTCGACATCAGACCCAAAATTGTAGTACATCAGCAAGGGTGTTATTTTTCAGGATTTCTTTAGGGTCTTGGTGTTTGGTTTGAGGTGGCGAGATGAAGGTGTTGCCCCAAGGTAGGAATAATGTTCTTCCCGCCCTATTCCTGTTTTGTTGGTGTGCTTTGCGCCAGCAGAGGGCATGTGGAGCCGTGTCTCCGGCGGGTCTTCCAGTATCGGGTTAGTTTAGGTTTCTAGTGGATCCACCTAGATTTGGCCGGTTTTCGTGGCCTTTAGACTTACTACAGACCCTTATCAGTGTTTTGTTTTCTCAGGGGCGACAATTTGTTTGCAGATCATGGCCGCTGACAACTCTGGGTCAGCATTGATGACTACCAGGTCACTACTTCTATAAGCTCTTGAGTTTTAAAAAGTTTTCTCTACCAAGGGGCAGGCCCAGAGGCGGCCTCGAGCTATGCTCACGGCGCGCCACCGGTGGATACGCGAGGAAAAAGACTTCGGCATCCGCAAGATTTTGGACGTAATCTTTTTTCTGTAAGGCTGTGTTTGTAAGGACATGTGATATTCTCGTCATGGATCTACCGTCCACCGCTACTTTGAGATTCATGTTTTTTTCTTGCCAACATTTGTCTTGTTTCAGAGAGTTACCTAACGTTTCACTGTGGTCATCCTCTTGTTTGAAAGCCCAAAAAAGATAAGAGGGCGCTTATTTCAGACTGAATTTACCGATATACAATGAAACATATTGATACATGTTGAAACAAGGAAATAGAAACTAGTGATGTCCAGGGGACAAGGTGCGTACGCTTGCACGCATCGGATTGGTTTTGGTTTCTTGCGGTGATCAAGTGTAAACACCAGCTACTAGGCTACTAGCTGGTTGGAGCCAAGCAGCTGCATGTGGGTGTGTGTGTGGATCAAGTGATGGATCTGATGGATGCCGGAGACAAGACTGAAGCCTCTAGATACCACTTGCCAGAGTAGACATGGCATGGACTCGGCACATAACGTAGCAAGGTAGCTAGATGTCCAGATACGACATTACGAGGCGTACTACGTGCTTTGGATGCATTGCATGAATTTGCCAGGAACGTAGGCCCCGTGAGCCGGCCAAGTCGTGTAGATTGTAGAGTCACGCAACCTTCGAAAAGTCTAGGGGCCGTGCATGATTGCCCGCGTCTGTTTAGCCGAGTCGGGAAAAGGCGTGGCTTGGTTTGGTTGCTCTCGTTTGTGGGAGTCTGCACGAGTGACCGAGGACACAATAATGCAGCCTGGTGATCCATGTGGTTGAGAGCAGATTTTGCATATCTGCTCATCAGATATCTCCCTGGTCCCGGAGAAACGGACGAAGCTGAATTTTTTTGTTTCGATTTGGTATAAGAGCATTTACACCGGGACTTGGTAAATCCGACCTCTTAAACACGTGCGGACGCGTCCGCGGACAGTGACCGCTCACGCCTTAAATATTTGATTCTACAACCAGATACCTTGGATTAGAAACCTCAAATTCATATTATTACATGCAACATAAACCGATCCTTAAGCGGAGCTCGTCCGGCTCCGTCGTGCCCATGTCCGACTGCCGGCTGCGCTCCCCATAGTGTTGGTTCGGTCGCCAGCAAGGTAGAGTAGGGCATGGGACATGAGATGGCTCACACCACTCAAGGCATCGCCGTCTACCATGCCCTACTCTTTCTCATTGGAGCCCGGGGCCCGGAATCCCGACGATGCCGGTGGACGTCGAATCGATGATGGATATGCCATGTAGAGCCGGCGACAACCACCACGACGTGGTTACGGCGCCCGGACTGGTACACAATACAGGGCGCCGAAGAATGCGACTCTGCCTCGCCGACGTCCACCGGCGCGTCCCGCACTCGCTACCTCACACAGCGAACACACCGCACCATGTTTGCATCAGACGACCCTCATGGTGTGTCCATGGTCTTGATACATCCCAAACGTATCTATTTTTTCAAACACGTTTGCTCTTATTTTGGACTCTAGTTTGCTCGAACTCTACTCGTTTACAGCCCTACAAGAGAGATATCAGAAATATAAAGTACAGTTGCTAAAAAAATACAGTATAAAGTACAGATACCGCGAATTAACTCCCAGGAGATATGCCCCCTTCGAAAGTAACCCGCAGAAAATCCCCGACATGTTGTGTCGTTCACGAGGTAGAGACTGGTACAGAGAGTATACTTCCTCCTCTCCTCTTCTAGGTTCATGTGCTCAGACACAACGGCCACAAGAACCTTTTGAGCAAGGTACTCAATGTAAGCGTACTCAAAGCGATCACATCTTCCTGACGGTGATTAGTTTACTAACGTGTGGTCATGGCCATTTTTGACTAGTACCAAACACCACACGACTTCAAGCTGCTTATACTAAATAGTGTTCACTTGATGCTGTTGCATGCCGTTAGAGGTGGAGCAGCTGGTTTTGCAGCCATGGCGTTGACATGAAACGCAGGGCAGAGGGTGCGAATCCACACACCACTGGATGGGATCCCGGCTTGAGTTGACCCACCAACAACCGTAGCAAGCACGAGAGGTGTGTCCGGTCAGACCGTCGGACCGACGATAACTTTTTTCCACTTCCACACTGGCTGGGCTTATAGCTTGAGCCAGCCAAGTAATTAAGTTGAGGTGTCATGTGGTTAGCATATTTAACCGCGGCATGCCGGGTGCACGTCGGGCAAGGCAGGCCCTCGGGGGCAGACCGTGTCGTTGCCGCGGCAGACACCCGCATGCAGGCGGTCACCGCCGCCGACGAACACGGCCGCCGTTCGGACAGTCTGCGTGCGTATGCATGGACTACGTGCACGAAGTCGTCGTGAAGAAGAACCGCAAGTGGTCCGTACGTGCGGTGTAACGTTGGGGTTGTCTGGGTGGGGCTGGCGGAATCTTTGATTCGACGCGGCTTTCACCAGTCGATTTGAGTAATCGGTATCAATAAAAAAAAGTAACCCTAAAAAAAGATAGAAAAAAAGAAGTTCATGTGTGCCTTCCACGCTCCACCCCACTCCACCAGAGATAGAGATGATGTTATTAGAAGCTTTCGGGTATTTTAAGCTTTTTTACAGTAGCATTTTAATTACTCCTATATGTAAGTCGCTTGAAAATTGATTTTGGGTTGGTCATTTTTTTTTGGTATTAATTTCTGCTTTGAGATTCGTGTTATCCCTTTTTTCTGGTCTGTTATGTTAGTTGTTTTGGCGGGTTTCCCATTAAGCATGCAAGGCGCACTAGATACATAATGCCTCATCCAAACGGATGATTGTCATTGATAAGACGGGTTCGTGGTATGTTGATACTAAGCCGCTTCCCCTGTAGTTGTTAGCTTGCTCCTTCCCCCTCCCTCGCTACTTAAAAATTGGCCTGCCAAAGTAGCACAGGCTTCCCCTTCCGGTTTTGGAAAGGTTCTAGAAGCTTCCCAGGCCGGTTTCTCATTTTTAAAAAAGTTTTTCACTTTCTTTACTTTTCTATATTTTCTTTTTCCTTTGTTCTTTCTATGTTCGTTCTTTTCCTTTTATTTTTCCTTTCCTTTCTATTTTGTTTTTATTTACTTTATCATATTTTCAAATTGTATTTCAATCATGAACATTTTATCGATTCATGAAGACTTTTTTATTTGTGAATATTTTTTTGAAACCATGAATTTTTTTTAATCGCAAACATTCTTTTATAAATTTGTGGTATTTTTAAAAATCATTAATATGTTTTACAAATTTGTGAACATTTTCTCAAATCATGAACATTTTACAGAATTTGCAAATATTTTTTACAAATTAGTGAGCATTATTCTGAAATTTTAACATTTTTTATATTTGTGAACTTTTCTACATGTCAGGAATAATTATTTAAATCGTGAAAAAATATTCAAAATCACGTACATTTTTCTGAATTCATGAAAATATTTACAAATTCGCGAACAGTTTCAGAAATTCGTGTTCCACATTTTTTAAATTTGGAAACATTCTTATGAAATTTATGATAATTTTTTAAGTTCGCAACCATTTTTCAAATTAATGAATATTTGTAAATTTGGGGGGTTTTGAATTGACGAAGATTTTTTTCAATCACAAACAATTTGAATTTGTGAATGTTTTCCAAATTGGAGAAAAACAATTTGAACTCCCAGACATTTTTTAAATTTTGTGAACATTTTGACAACCTAAACATTTTTTAATGAAGCAAGAAAAACAAAAATATAAAAAAAGAACGAAAGGATGAAAAACTGGGACCCTGACCCCACACGGGCCGGCCCAAAAGGATACACTATGATGCGCCCCGCGCGTCCTATGCACTAA